GAAGTCCGTCCAGAGAAACTTCCAACGGCGTCGATTGTCGCTAACGCCCGCCAACGCCATAGGAAGCCAGTCGACACCGACGCAACTATGGCGGACCCCAACCGCGATGTCGTCTGACCCGGAGGAAGCCGCGTCATCGGTAATGTGCATCTATGCATGGAAGCCATCGCAAACTACGGCTACCAATCGTCACGTATGGATGGAGCCTAAGCTCGATCTTGCTCCGACAGTGCATCGCCACCGCATTGCACACTCGAGCGTCGAATGCTGCGATTATAAGCGTTTTGAGGGTAGGCCATTTGAATGGGCCCATCCCAGTGAATATGGAGATACCCTCAACTATATACACCGATTCATCTCGGTTGCGCTAGGCCTGGCGTTTTCCTGCAGCGTGGGTTGAGTTGGTCCTGATGGCGCCGGACCAACGTCCGGCGCCGATTACACTTTCACGGTTTATCTAAAGGAATTAGGGAACTTTCAGATGTGCAAAACAGGTAGAGTCTGATACTTGTTTTTCAGAGACATATTCTCTATGGGATTCGGCCCATTCCGTTGGGTGTGCACCTCGCAGAAACCAGAGGATCTCGATGAAACTGACAAAATTGCCGCAAACGTTATTGAAAAACTCATGAAAAACGAAGGTAACACCTCGCAATTGAATTCTTCTGCACTGTTATTGAATAGAACTGCTACGAGAAAGCCAGGGTAAACAAAAGCAGTCACAGCTTACATTGCTCTTGATATGGGGTATATTAGCCAGTAAATATTTATCTAGTTTTGACTCTGCTCCCTCAGCACAGACTGATATAGTGTTTCAGTTCCGGAGCATGTACGACAACAATACTTTGACAACAAGAAATGGATCGAGAACGCAGCAGCTAATCATCTTGTTGTCGGAAGTCAAGCGAGAATACTCTATTCTGATCAAGAGGGGCGAATTGCTATTGCTCTCGCATTCAACGATGCTGTTCGAGACGGAAGAGTTACAGTGAGTTCAAGTTCTTCAAATCAAATGATGTCCATCAGTTAGGTTGGAATTTACTGAAAATCGGATGGATTTTATGAAAGCATTCAACAGCGGCTTATCTGTTGCATTTCCAACAAAAATAACGTACTGGCCAATTGTTGCCACTTATAACCTGATGAGATTTGACATGAGGATCTCATTTCCATAATCAAACAGTGATTCTTCATTATCAGATATACGGTAGTGCAGCAGTGTCGTAAGTATCAGGGTAAGGTTATCTTACAATCGAAGGTCATCCCCCTCTTTCGGTGTTTGCGATTTGAGGGCTAAAACGGCCGTAACTCGTTAATCTTGATTCACTAAAATTTAGAGACATGATATAGAACCCCTCCCCTCCTCAACCTTCACCCTTTAAAGTCCTGAGTCACCATTTCAAACTCACCTATAAGTTCCGCTACGATTAAAGATTTTCATAGCAATAGCTTTTGATAAACACATCCTCATAATTGAGAGTCTTGCAAAATA